GGATGATGGAGAAAATCTGGAACGCTTGCTGCGACGGCTGGATGCCTTTCGGCTGGTGGTGGGGACAAGAAGATGACAGCGGGGAAGGCGCTTTCTGACCTCGGTACGCGGATTGCGGTGACGGATGCGCTGTCAGAAGAGGACACAAGGGATGTTCGGTGCCTGAAGTCAGCGCTGCGTCGGGGGTTCGGTCCGTCCCATAGCTGGCACCGCGACCGGTTCAATCAGTGACGTAAGCAACGCTCCGAGACATGTGGTATGTTTCTTTCCCATCTGGTATCTTCGTTTCGTGGTGTTTCCTGGTTCGGGCCCTGACACGTCTGTTGGAGCCACTCTCCTGAGTGGTCCCTTCTTGGATTGCATCTCGTCCGATATGGCGGCGCATTTACGCCTGTTGTATCCCAGCATTAACGCTGATTACATGCCAATGCATTCAAAACAAGGTGAAGAGGCTGCCCATCTCTCGCCAGCTCAAGTCAGTCAAATTCGGCATGGGCCTGCGGTAGCGAGGGGAGCAGTAGATTAGCTCCGACACGAGGTAGCCGAGCTCTCTCGTGCCCTGTTTGGAATCCGTGCGGCAGGTCGCCTGGCGCCATCGCGGGGACGGTGTGACGTCATTCGAAGTCGGGCGGGTCAGCAAAGGCCGCGTTCCCCATTACCAACAGCCGTCCGCAAGTTGCAACCTATGACGTCTAAGGTAAGTGCGTCGCAGCAGTAACTGCGGCTTAGAGGATGGTCGTTAATATATGACGTAGGTACTTGTGACGTCATAGGCAGCAATTCAAGCAGGTACTTTGCCCATGGGGGACACAGCCCTGGGATCGGCTCAGTGGAGCGACCCCCACGTGACCCAGCCAAGGTAAAATGGGTGAGCGGACCACAGGAGTGTGCCCGGGGGGTGGGGGCAGCAGTACAGTAAGGACGGGCCGGCCAGGCCGGTTTCCGGGACAGCAAATAAGATGCTGGGCATGTAGTTTTTCTGACCACCCGCAGATGACGTGAACTCAGACTCCATGGGGTCACGGCCACGGTCGACCGGCCCCGCCGCCTGCTGACGTTCTCGTAATTTGAGGCACACTCAATATGACTGTCTTAAGGGTTTAAACCGAGGAAGGTTTCTACCGCGGGACCGGTGGTAACCAGACCCGAGGCCAAAGGTCCACACAACTCGCAGGTTCACTCGGTTCACGTGAGTGGTGGCATTGCGGGACTGAATAGCACGTGATTGGTTGATACCAAAACAATGGTCACCTGTGTGCCGGCATCTCTTCCGGGGATTAGCTCCTTACCTCACTCCAGCGGCTGTACACCCAATCGCAGTCAATTGCACGACATTGATATGCCATTGAATGGTTCAGGAAGCATTTTAATTTGTTCGGCAGCAATAGCTGACGTTCAGGTACTGGCGATGGAGAACTTATCCGCTCCAGCCGTCTTGAGAAATTATGTCCTGGCGTTGTTTTAATCCGTCCAACCTGGCTACAACGAAAGGTGATTTAAACCGGAGTTTTGCGCGTACCTCCGGAGGAGCGGGTACATGAGACTCCAATGCAGCCAGTTTTCGTGCTTCCTACATATGATTTCAGTCTGTGAAATGAAACCATTTTCTGAAAGGACTATGTACGAACTTGGTCTCTGGGTCGATTTCCCGAGAAATAATATTTGTTCCGGATCCTCGAGAAATATAACTTTACGAAATTTTCGTTAGACCTTGACTGGCTCGGCCTGGTGCTCGTAACTACATTCCAATGTATTTTTATCAAGCCAGTTCTTGGCAGGGCTGAAGTCATGAGAAAGGCTCCAGTGAGTGGGAGGGGGGGGGGGGGGGGGACAAGCCTTAACGGGTCTGACCGGTAAACGTCGATTTGGCTGAAGCGGAAGTCAGTGAGTTCAGTCGCACGAAGCTCAAGTCTCTTGGACGGATATCGGGAGATGTTCGTGAATTCTGACGCCGAGCTTCGTCTAACACGCGTCGCCTATCTCGGCGTCAACACCGGCGGGTCGCCACCTGCTGTAGCGAGGCCTAGAAAAGTCCCATATCATTTGAGACCAGACGTGCGGAGGCAAATCGCCGACATGGAGGCCCGTGAAATGCGGAATGCTCAGGACCAGGACGAGGCGCCCAAAGCACTGAGCATGGAGGGACGCCTTAACAGGGCGCAAAGTCCACACAACCATTGGCGGCGACAGTGTTGTTTTGAACCGGCCATTGAACAGGGAAGCGGTCTGGTAGTCTTTGTCAAAGCAAGTATGGAGCATACCAACTGGTTCCAAAAGGTCTCACTTGATGTGTTTTGAGCCTCGAACTTGACGAGTTTGGCGATTTCGGCGCTGAAACAACCTGCCACCTGCTGAAGCAGACTGGATATATTTGGTAAGAAACAAAGCAGGATGTCAGGAACTACTAGAGCAGCTGTTGGCACGTTTAAACAGCACGCAGCGCCGTTTCACGGACCTGTTGAAAATGACAACGCAGCCCGCAGCTCCTAAAGGAAGTGTTCCACATTTGTATACGGCTTTGAACTGAGATGGCCATTCTCAAGATCGTTCCGGCAGTTCACAGCCATACTCTTTTTTAGACCTAAGCCCTCTTGTTTCTAACCTTGACGCCCGCCAATTTATGAAGACTATCCCATGAACGCTATTTCAAGGTCACACATACAAGCAGCTTCTGGAATGTTGCCTCCTCATTGGGAATGTGGTGCTCTATGTCGAGACATAAAGCTTCGTCAAATTGTTCGTGTCTGACGTACTGAACGCATTTCACCAGTTGAGAGCCAACTGGAAATCCTTGATGCCAGAAATCGTGAACCGTGAAAAAGTTTGGAACACAAATTACGTTCTGTGCTACACAGTATTAGGGATCTGGGCATTGGAAGTACTTATGACGGGAAGGAAACTGGAATTTAAATAACTTAATAAATAGAACTGTACTGGGCTAAGTGAATGCAATCAAACAAAATCTAAAGCCACGGATGCATAAAGAAAACTACGAGGAAGAGCCAAAACACTTAAACATAATGATGTTTGGGTTCTGCAAACATGCACCAATTAGCACACATCACTTGATAAGTTGAAGTGCTGCTTGTGTGTTAGCCAGTCTGCTATGGTGGCATTTTCGCACAGCCAGTGTGGCATGTGACTCTTCCATCATACAGACTTTCTACGATACAATCAAACGATAACATATTAAGGAGAATATTTACTAAGTAGTGAAATTGTGTTGTCTACAGCAGTATTGCACTTCAAAGCCTTGCAATAGTTAATAGTGATACCAATAGTTACAAGTGAGCTTATCTCATGTCTGGTGGTTGCCAAACAGAAGGCAGCCACATCTGAGACAGCCAGGGTGACAGGAACCAGGGGACATAGGTAGATGAGATGTTGACATAATGAAATGAAAACACTGCCCACATGGACATGGAATCCCAGAATGTGGAACACAGGAAATGACTCAGAGTTTGAAAATGACAAGTGACCTCTGGAAGCAGGCCCGACCGGCTGCCGTGGTCAGAGGTCACAAAGTCCACTTACCCCCTCCCCTCCCCCCAATCACCAGGTGACCCTAGAAAACACTAGGCATCTGCTCCAAGTGATGCAGAAGTGGGAGGTTTGCTGCTGGAATACTGGAGCATTGCCCACACAATACCTTAAGGATGGACATTGTGACATTCCTTTCATTTTAATCAGCCCAGCACCTCACAGTTCTAAAAGGCACCTTTTCAAACTCGGCAAATGCCAGGCACTACAAAGTTCTGATTTTGCTCTTTTACTTGAGCTGTGCTGCTGTGGCCTGAATGAGCATCATACTTCTGCAAGTCCCAGATACGTTTACTTTACATTCAAGGATTGTACATCCATGTCCCACCATGCCCATGCAATTGCAAGCACACACCATTTCCAAAAGAGACATGGAGTAGACCAGAGATCTCTGACTATGATCTAGACTATCCCCAGCCAACTTGCAAGCACAAAATGTGCCAGGTGGCTGTGGGCCAGTATGCAAACTGTGGCAAGGACTTCAAAACCATGCTTGGGGCAGCTTCATTCATTCATTCTTGACAAACTTAATCCCAGAAATTCATCCAATGAGAGTTCTGTGCAAATATCCAATAAAACACGTGAGAGCTCTGGGCAAGCACCCAAAAACCACAAACACAAAGGTGCATTACTTGTGAAATAAGTGTATTTCTGGTTTACCACTAGCTGCATACAACACCCATAAAATTTCAGAAATACAAGTGATTATATCTTTTCCAGCACATCAGTATTAGCCATGGACAGTATGAGTATGGCAGGATGCAAATTGAACTTTGAACACAATGCCTCCTGGGATGTCACTGATTATGTAACCAATATTGATTCAATTACTCACTTTTTCAGATGCATAAGACTTAAGACTGAAGCCTTGCAATAGGGAGCAGCCCTCCACTCTGATTCAAGCTGATGTTACTTTCATACCAAAAGTACTACCCATTTTAGTGCTGTATCAAACTTATTCAACAATCTTGCAGCAACAAATCAGACACACAAGGATGATCCCAACTTTCCTAATATTAACCATGGCATGCTGTTCAGCATGAGATGTTAACTGCATCATCCAGATTCAGGGCTAGGGATTAGTGTTGATTCCTAAAAAACAAAACATTTTGCAAATATCATAGTTCCATTAGTGCCAGGTGTTAAGGTTAATAAGATGCCTGAATCCCTAATGGTCACATGTTAACCAATGCACTATCTTTTGCATGCCCCTCCCACACACAAATCTACACACGCTTAGTTTACATTCCCAATGATAAGCTCAACGGACGAGTTCCATTAACAACAAACTTCAGAGCTCTTCACAGCGCAGAAGTGAGATTCATGACGCAAGGGGTATGACCCGGCCAACTGCCATAGTGTCAAAGCCGGTGTTCCAGCGATGCCTCCGTTTTATCAACCACAGGCACCTCCGGCTAAGAAAACGGTCATGCGGAGAAATATTAATCACGACCACCCACCTTCACGGCCGGTCTTCCCCTCCACACAGCCCCGGGTTCTCGGCGCACGCGTACGAGGGTGCGCGCGAAAAAGACGCAGACGCAGACACCCATTTTCCCCTATGACGTCACAGGCATGCGAAGCTGTCCTCGCTAAGCGCCGTTTGAATCAAAACCCGAAATAGACCAACAGGCTATGAACTCGTCAATGCCTACACGGAGGACGAAATAAAACCCGCAATTTTAGGGTAGCCACATCGATTTATTACCCGGCAAAGTGGGCAATGGCTACATACTGCGGATGACACCGAAGAAGCACATGTTTCCGAAAAATGCTCCTCTTTGAACACCATTTATCACCGGGGTGGTGATCGGAAGCACACTTGCAACGCTAAGTCAGGATATATCTTGCAGAGAAGGAAAATGAGATGACATTACAATGTGACAATCCCTGCTTTTATTTCTATCTACAAAATATAATGACACACAGCTTTCAACATAAACAAAACTTCACAAATAGCACAGCCTGGCGTCACTGGTGACGTCACCAGTACCTCCGTCTCCTGGCATCACTAGCCATGTTTCCTCAGCAACGGCGTATGTACTGACGGCCTCCAAACCGAAATTGGCAATGCTCTGGCGTCCGCTGACTTTACGATTCACGTCTATTGTCGCACTGGCGTTGGCACCTGGCATCAACGCTGACGCCACCCGTCATCGCCGGTTACAACTTACGACACTAGTACTGATACGCCGGCGTCATTCGCGACAGCATGGCATCATTGGTAACCACCCACATCAGCGATCTTCCACGTGCTGCCGTCACGTGCGCCATGTGACGACCTCGCTGACAACAATATCATCAATACTATCTCTCACTTCTCCACGCACAACAGACATCGATGATCACGTCGCAACTGACACAATTCGCCGCCGGTCCTGGCTCTGACGCCGCATCCGTTCAGTGGCGACGTCGGTAGTTTCGGCGCCTGAAGTCGCGCCGGTTCAGCCGGCTGAAGTTGTCCTTGGTGTTGCCGTTGGTGAGGGGGGCGCCGGCGGCCTCCTCCTCAGGCGCCGGCGGTGGCGAGCGCTCCTCATGCGGCGGCGCGCGCAGCCGGCGCAGCTTCTGGCGCACGCGGCGGCGGCGCGCCGGCGCGTCCTCGGCCGTGCTGGAGCCGGAGGAGGGCGACGAGGGCGGCAGCGGCCGCGGCCCGCCCGAAGAGGAGGCCGAGCTCTGCAGACCGCTGCCGGACGGCCGGTCGCCGGGTGGCGTGGCTGAGGCCAGCCGGCCCGGCCGACGTCGCGGCGCCGCCGGCGCTCCGTCTGAGTCGTCCGAGGAGGCGGCGGCCGGCGGCGCGCGCGCCGTGTAACGCGACGACACCTCGGCGCCACCCAACGGCAGCCAGACGTACCTGACGGCAGCGGCGGCGCGTGAGAGCGTCCCCAGGTGCGGACCAGGTGGGCACGGTGGGCACGCCACGTCGGGCGCATGACCCGCATCTCAGTCATCAGGGAAGCGCCCTAAGCGTCGTCGCGAAGAGCGCCCCGAGCTTGTTGAGAAAGTGTATGCTTCGACGACGGCCGGTGGCAAAGCACTTCAGCTCACAGTGGTACCAAGCAAAACGTTTGAAATACATCATGGGGTGTAAATTTATGAAAGCAAAGCATTAGTGTATTGAGACAAATATTTCGCCAAGGCTCACACCGGTGTCCACCCACTCCGACCAGCTGTGC